CCCCCCCCCCTCCCTTCCTACCCCCTTTACTCTTCTGTTGCTTCTCGCTCGGCTCTACGAATCTAAATTATCTGTAGGGTTGTTTCGACGCACGGATCCCGAGCTGCTCATGCCTCCTCCCTCCCTCCATCTCTCTATTCTCTTTGCCTTGCATATTTTAACACCGGTTTGAACTTTGTCGTAGAACTCGTCGGGATGGTCTGAATTATCACACCCGGCGTCGTTCGCGCGATTAGGGGTGATGCTTCTCTCTACGATGTTGTCGTCATTTTAGCGCGGATGTGGAAATGAGGCGTCGGAAAATGTTTCAGAATATGTTACTTTATTATGTATCAGCGATCACGCGTACAAGAGCGGCTAAAAGTACTTGCTATGCCACAAATTACAAAAATCGATTTACAAATTCAATCAAAATTAACGCGTCGAAATTATCGGCCGGATCACCGATTTCATTGAACATTTAATTTCACCAAACTTTTCACGCAACACCGTCTCTCAAAGTCCGTTTTCTTTACTGTCGGCCCTTTCTCACGCCTTCATTCCCTAATCCGAGCGCGGCGGGACGGAGAGAAGAAGAAGGGTTTATAGAAGAGAAGGGAAAGAGGAAGAGATGGCTGCTCTTTTAATTCGAGGGTGAATCCTGGCGGTAAGGCTTCGCTTTCCGAGAGGGAGAAGGAAGAAAGACGCCGGTCTGTGCCCCCTTGGGATCCGATATCGACGCTTCGCCGTAAGAATATACCGGTCTCTTCTGATTTACGAAGAAAATCGAGACGCCAGGCTCGCGTTTCGTTCCCCTTCATTCGGCGCGACGTGATACCGCCGGCTCGCGTGCCGGTTTCGATTGTTGAAATAAAACAAAAAAAAAACGCACACGATAAACGCGCTTCTAAACGCGCGGAGGAAATCTCGTATCGGAGAATCAGGTGTATTCCGCTCGCTCGATCGGATTTAATTCGAACAGTTAGTGTCAACGTTTCAAATGCGCGATCCGCCGACGTAGCGTCGTCACCTTTCTTCCCCTCGCTTTTTTTTTATCGAGATTTTTATAGCAAACTCGCTCGATATAAAACCGATAAACGTGAACGACTCTTCCGACGGTTATATCGATTGCGACATAAATTGTGCCGTAGGAAAATATCGTCCCGTAGAAACATTCAAACGAAATGTTAGTCACGACGACGCTCGAGGTGAGAAATTTTGGGAAACGACCTGCACTTGTATCGAGAACAAAATTCTGAAACAAACGTGAAACCATTGTTAAAGTACAACGGGTAATGGCGAATGCCCCGAAACACGCTGCAGCGCCCGTGAATTACCCTCTGCGGTGCAGTCGCACCCTTCCTCCCCCTCCGCGTCGTATCCCGTTGATCGCGGATTTATCGACGCGGAAGTTCCGGCGACGAGCGGGATTTCTGGTCGGGCGGATCTCGAAGCTCTTCCAGCCCGTGGAAAACAATGTTTTGTGAAGTTCGGTGTTCGTTTGTTCGCGCGCGTATATCTTCCCGCTTTATGTTACTCGCGAGAGGGCAGAGAACTTCTCTCGACGATTTTCTTTCGCGCTCCGGCAATTTCGTGCTTCCGCCGTCCAAAAAAGGATCCCGGCGCGAACTGTGGTATTTCGCTCGCAATGCTTCGCGATGTTTTTCCAGCATCGACGTTGCGCCACCCTCTGTTACTCCCCCCCCTTCAACTCCTTTACTCCTATTTTCCTATCCTCCTAGGACTCGAATTCGCTCGGCCATATCTTCGCCATGTTCCACCCGTCCAACTTCGTCCGCCACCATTCACCCTCCTCCCTCTTCCCTTCTATTATTTTTCTTCCTTTTTCCAGCCACTTCCGCCGGAACACTCGTCCCTTTTCCGCTCGCCGTAGCTTTCCTCCTCCCGCTTCCAAGCCCGTAAATCAAAACTCGACGCGAAAACGCGGCCAAATGTACACAACGCGCGGCGCCCGACGTACCGGGTGTCCGGAACGATCGCCGGCGGCCATCGATTTCCGCCGCCTGGACGGGATAAGTGCGAAGATATGCTTCCCGAAAATGTTCGTTCCCTGACTGCTTTA